CCTTGGGATGGGGACGCGGGCCAAGGGTGGGGGCGCGGATCCCTCGAGGCAGATGCTGAAATCCGCGCAGTCGGATGCTGAATTCCGGGTCGAATCTCGCAAATCTCGCGGCTTCCTGACTTTGATTGGGAGGGGGCGAGGCGGGGCGAGGGGGGATGACGAGAGGGGTGGGCGATCGGAAGGGGGCACGGGGACGGGGCTCGACTGGGGCAGGGAGCTTTAGCTCACGGGGCTGGGGTAGATCGCTGGGGTTCGGGGCAAGGAATTCCAGAAATTATGCCGCGGTTGTTTTGGCGTCCTCATGCTTCGCCTGGCATGCCATAGTGGCGCCCGTGAATTTACCCAGCACAACTAGGGCGCATTTGTCACCATACTTGTCGGCGGCGCCGCCAGCTGCCAGGATAATGTGGTCGGCAGTCAGAGCTTCGCCAGATCGTTGAGGTGCGAACGCCTCGTGCTGAATGTCATAAGATGCGGGGTCTGTCGGTGGGTTGGGTCGGTGCCGGCGTCGGCACGGCGTGTTGTGCACCAGGATGAGCACACAGATCTCAATCAAAATGTTTGGGACTGTGAGTAATATAATACGACGGGTCGATAGGTGGACGCGGTCTGCCAGGCAGTGCAGGCGCTGGTGTGAGCGTCGGCGCAACTGTGCTCCATGTCGAATCGACCCAGTTCGATGCAGGTGTATCCACCGGCGCCGTGGTGTTACGCACGAGTGTGGGTGCGTCCATCGGCGCAATCACATCATCTTCACGGCGTTAACACGTGAGTAAATCGGATTGTCATCGCACGTCGGCTGCGTCGGGAAACGGGCGATGCGTCGCACCAATTTGGGGGGCGGAATCTTCTGCAGATTACTGAAATCGCATCCAGGGATCCCGTTGTCGACGTTGACCCTGTACCCGTGACCACGAGGGCCCCGCAATAGATAACCTAGATGTGGATCCCAGATCTGTCTGAAACCGTCCTCCTGTACCAGTAGCCCCACATAAAGTACCGATGGGCAACGCGTCATTGCCGGCGCCGAGCTCGATAGTCCAATGCGTGGAAGTGTAAGCTGGATGAGCTCGTTGACGACGCGGTCGCCGTTGGCTGTTTCGAGGATGCGTTATCGCCCCTGTCGTGCTCGAATGGTTCCACGTGGTGAAGGTCGGCCCTGTCTTGGATGATGGGCGGAGCCACTATCCAAGATCCATGCTCGCGACAACGCCGCCGTAGACCGTCGCGCCGCCGGTGTGTCACCGCCGACGCACTGTCATGAGCCGGCGGTGAATCTGGCACCATAGTCGTTCTGGAAGTCCGCATGAGCTCGCCATTCAAACGTTGCGCCTCTGACTGTGTGGCGCGCAGCGCGCGTGCGCCAGCTTCCATCTTCCAGTCCGGTAGAATGTCCGGCACGTCGACCTGTTCTCCGCAGTGCAAGGACCCGGTCCATGTGTACATTTGACGCTTGTATGTGTAGGTCGTTGTCCACATTGGCGAGGTCGAAGCGGATCCGCCGCGGTGGTGGGGCGAACAGCAAGAAGCCGCTCGCGAGTCACGCGCGTGCGCTGTGCGACCACGTCGTCGGTCGCGCCGCGCTGCCGCGGGAGGTCTGGCGCGACCACGGGTGGATGGCGATCGGGGGCGGGGCGGCCAGCCGCGACCCCCGGATCGCGCGAGTCGGATCGACCCCCGCGCCCGGGACACGACGACCCTCGTCGCGACAAGCGCGTGACCCCTGGACTGCGGGAGCTGTGCTGGCCCTCGCAGGGCGAAGGCCTGCGGCATCCCGCACGTCGCGGCGGGGGCGTCCTGTCGCGGCTGTCTCGGCTGGAGGGCCGAACGGGGCACCTGTCAGGAGTCTTTGCGCCAGGGTCAATGTGCGCATTGCGGCAGCTGGTTCCACGCTTGCATGTCAACTTCGGCACCGCATGGAAAGTGCATTTCGAGATGTGAAGGTATTTGCAGCGATCTTGGAGTGAAGGGGCCGTGCTTTTGCGAACGCAGAAGTTCTGCTTGACATTATCCTTCTGCTGTGGGCTGGAAGAGCGGCCAATGGAAGGTCGTCTGTCGCGGGCGTTCCTGCCGCGGGAAGATGATCGTCGTGGAGGTCGTGGTGTTGGGCGGCTGCTGGATCCAGCGCGTAGCATCTTGCACCTTTCACCATTCTTGCGCCGCCCAGACTTGAACGCGGCGCAACTCACGGAATCATGTCGGTTCGATTCGTTATTGAGGTTGTGCTGGTTGCGCTCAAGTCGATGTAGTTCGGGGTTGACGATAACGCGTGTTCGAAACCACTCGCTCGTATGTTCTATTTGAGTGGTCGTTAGCCATCTTGTTTTAGTCGTGTATTTCCTGCTTCATCAAGTAGTGCCGGTGTATTTGAGCTCGGAATAATGACTCGAAGATGCACGCGTCGGGCGGTTCGCGGCATTCCAACAACAGATTGTGCCCATCCACGATAAGCCGTTGGAGGTCGTCGTCCCGCATGCGTATCAGTTGTAGACGTTCAGAATCGTGCATGGTGTCGCCGACTGCAGCGACTCTGTAGAATTTGTCGTATCGTCCAGTAGATTTGTCTACCTTCAGCATACGGACAGCTTTATGTTCCTGAGCTGTGAGGTTCTTGATGCGGCATCGGAGCTCAATATTGAGGACGGCAGTAGGTCCAGCTGCGAGTTTGCAGCCGGTACTCTCGAAGTCGCCGCTGTCCTGGGGGTCCTCGTAGGTGGTGGTTGGCTGTTCTGCGATGCGTAGGAATGCATGGGCCTTGGCAGGGCGTCTGGCAGCGCGACCAAAGTTGTTGCGAACCATATGTTGCCACTGTTGTAGTTGTGTAGTGCGTGGCCAATTGTGGCATGCGTGCGGTGTCTGATTCCTTGATTGGCGTTCTACTGGGAAGTGAAAGGTGTGACGAGGTCTGCGTAGGAACCGGTTGGGTAGGTGATGGTGGGCGCACAGGGGAAACGCGACGCGTCTGCGCGGAAGCCGCCGCGGAGGCGGCACCTGGCGATGCGCGTCGCGAAGGTCCTGTGCGGATGTCACCATCGGCATGCGCAGAGACTTGGTCAAGTCGATGTTCAGGAGGCGGGGTTGGATGGTGGATCTGAGCGAGGCTTTCGTGGGCTGTCAGTGCAGCTTCGTTGGTCGTGCTGTCATGCTGCATCGTGTTAACACTCTGTTGCGTGCCACGCATGTCAACGTTAGTGTCGTGGGTTGGCTGGGGGTACCTGTCCAGCCAATGCTCTAAGTCCTGGGATATTCGGTTGTGTGCTTCGCGCTCTGGTTCCAAACGGGTGAAACCTTCCTCCGCCCGTGCCTTTGTCGGCGTCTCTTTCATCGGGGATCTGGGTGAGCCGCGACTGCGCGCGGTCTTCCGCCACCCGTACCTCGGCCATTCGGGCTTCGCGGGGGCAAGATCAGAAACAGAAGCCGGGGTGCCCAACTGATCAGTCTGGGCCCGTACAACACGCAACTCAGCCAGTGCAGTCCTCATTTCAAGTAACTGCTGCTCGACCGTGGAGACTCGTTTCTCAAGCCTTGGCACGCGGCCCTTAGAAGCGCAAAGACGCCGAACGAGGGCCATTTCGGCACCGCGCAGCTTGCCGTGCAACTCAGACGTGAGTGCGGTATCCTGGGAATGTAGTGTGGCAGTGGTCATCTCAACCTGGGTGCGAAGTGTGTTGACGTCCTCGCGTAGCTGATGATCCGTGAGCCCATGCACCTCTGCATGCGGGATCTGTCGGGCCATCAGGAGCTCATCCTGCAATGGCGTAATGGCAGCGGCCCCGTCTCTGACGCTTGCGAGTTGGGCCTTCATCCGAGGGGGGTGGTCGTGGAGCGTCTGGATGGTGCCAGAACCTCGGCTTTGACTCCATCTACTCCATCTGGTCAACTTGATGCTGGACCCGAGCGGTGAGCGATCGATCTTCAGCGACCCGATCAGGAGTTTCAATAAGCTCTTGCTTTGGTCGACGCTCGGATCGCTGAAGTTGAAACTCCTGTCTGAGGGTGGCCGTCTGCGCGGCCAAACCCGACAGCTGCCGGGCCGTGCAAGTTTCAACCTGGTCTCGAAGCTCCGCCATGTCACCGGTGGTGGGAGAGGCGCGCGGCGCCATGTCGCGCGGTGGGAAGTCATGCCGGGGGCGCCTCTGGGAGGGGCTGCGGCTGGCGCCCCGAGTAAGAGAGCGAACGCGATGCCGTTCTGGAGCCCTTCTCTGAGATGCCCGCCCAGTGCGATTCTCAATGGCGCGCGCATGTTAGTGTTAGCCCAGCGGCGGGGGCGCGCGAGAGCGGTGTCTGGAGTCAAAGCCTCAGCGCCACCACTGCGGGCGTTCCCACCGACACAACGCGCGCCACCGAAGGTTGGAGGAGAGGAGGGAGGCGCGGCGAATCCAGCCGTGACTCCGAGGACAACTGCAGGTGCCCCCGCCGGCACATGACGCGTTCAATGGACGTATCAGGCGCCGCGGTTCCGAGGCCCTCGGCGCGCGAGGCGGCGGCAGCGGGGGGTCTGGTAGAAGTTCGCCCAGAGCAGCCGCGTACGAGGCGGTGCTTCCCTCTCCTGAAGGGGGGGATTGGCATCGCAAATTCTCTCGCCCGCTCCGCAGCGCCGTCGCGCCCGCGCGCCGTCGCGGACGCCGCGCGCATTGAGGCGCTGCGCCCCGATGGGGGGCAGCGCCGCGCGGCGGGGCCAACGAGGGCGCCAGTCGCAGCGGCGAACAGCGCAAAATAATGGGCTGGCAACCTGTGCGCATAGGGATACGACCGAGGGGGCGAGCCTACACTTGGGCCCGTAGGCAGAGGCTAAGGAGGAAGAGGTTAGCTACTCCTTCTTCTGGGCGCTGCGCAGAGGGCAGCGCGGTGCAATGTCAGCGCCAATGCCTGAGCTGGTACGATAGCGGTATATGACGATAATGGTGATATGGGCGGACTTCACACGCATGAGCTCCCACTGCTGTACTCGAATGGGGCAGGCGTCGCCATGGGTGTCCGATCTATGTAGTAGAGGTCGCCTTTAACTGCTTGCTTGATCGCCTGCGAGCTCTCGACATGCTTTCTGCCCCTGTACTTCTTGGCGTGAACTGTCATCGCGGCCCTCGCCTGCATGTCCCCCGCGAGCTTCGCCTTGGTGGCTGGCCCCAATCCCGCGCCACCTTTGGCCATGTACTCGGTGGCATCCACGCGCATCTATTGGCCTCGATGCGCAGCGCGCGCTTCTTGCCCGCGACGTCCGCGGGGTCGCCGCCGTTCAGGAGCTTCGCGAGGCCGCGTTTCAGGGGCGCCTCGGGAGCGACCGAAGTCGCTTTCAGGCGCGCTGCCGCGTAGGCAGGCGCCTCCAAGAGCTAGACCTTGGCGAGGAGCTTCCACGCGGCGGGCGCGACCCCGCGCCTGCGATCGAGGCTCGCTGCAACGCTTAACAAGTCATTCAGAAACTGGCCGCGCTGGCCGCCAGACGGGCTCTCCACGCGCACGCGCGCGCCCTTCGCATGCCCCGCCATTGACGGGCGGTCGGTCGCAAGATCCTGCGCGACCAGGTCCCAGCGAGGATCTCCGCCCCCCCCCCCCCCCCCCATCATCCTGAGCCTCGCTATGCTGAAAATCTGCAGCGCGGTCTGCAGCGCAGTCACCTCCTCGGGAAGAGGCTGGAAAGGGGCCGATGCGGAGTTCGGGGGGGGGGGGGGGGGGGCGCAGCGATGACAGATGGGGGGCGCAGGCGCACCTGCACCCCTCATCATTGCCCATTCTCACGAGGAGCGCGATGGGAATGATAAATGGGGGGAGGGGTGAGACAACGCGAAAACACTAGGCTGACGAAATGCGGGGGGAGGGGGTGGGGCGTTGCAGCGGGAGGAGAAGAGTGAAGTTCAAAGAAACGGAGGGGAGGGAATCGCGTGCACTTCCCGGCTGTTCTCGCGCGACTTGCCCATCGCGTCCTGGAGGAACCATGGGGGGCGGGGGCGCTGTAGCTCCACTTCAGCGAGGGCGATCTCGAAGTTGAAGCCCTGGTTCAAGGCCGTCCGAAGCGATGGGGGCGACGTCGAGCACCCTGTCCTTGCGCGGGTAGCCGTCGTCACCAACGAGATGCCATGTCCAGAGCGGGCGGCCCTTCGCCCGGCAAATCACCGCGGCCGGACATCCGATCGCGTGCGAGCCGCCGCGCGCCAGGTTACTCCAGCACACGCCTCTCCCCCATTGGAAGCATGCCCTCACTCTCTCTGGCGAAACTACTGGGTGAACTCGTGCCGCTTGTCGAAGCGCGCGGGGTCGGACTGGGCCATGAACGCGATGCCTCTGCATTCGCCGTAATTCCGTCCATCGTCGCAGATGCCAGCCAACGGTCTGCGCAGATCGCGAGGTCCCAGCCCGCGTCCGCATCGACTGCGCGGGCGGGGCCCAGCCTGGCCGTCTTGCGCCGAAGCCTCGTGAATCGAGCCCGCCTCCTTCAAGAGCGCGAGGGATCTGTCGCGCTCTGCCCTTGCAGAACGACCAGCCAAAACCCTGCGCCCGCGCGTCCACGCGCGATCTTGTGAGCCCGGAGCATAGGCGTCTGATATCTTGATATCAAAAAAAAACAATATATCAGACGCTCATGTTTTGGGCTGCGGGTTTCGATTGCATGTGCATCTCAGCCCCCCACCCATATGACATCGTGATCCGCTGCAGGGGGTGAAAATTTCATCTGGGTGGGGGCCTAAGATGCACCGTGATGTCGCGCGTGAACATGCGGGCGCAGTTTCGGTCAAATGTTCGCCTTTTTTCTGCTTCCTCGGAGTGTCGCTGGCCATCATCAGCTCTTCGATGCGAGCGTTGATCATCGGGGCGACCTCGTCCAACGCTCTCTGACGCGATGCCGGCAACGGCGTGCCCGTGGATACCGTAACTGCTGTATAGAAGGTTCTTCTTGAGCAAAAACGGCGACTGGTGAAAGACTGAAGAAAATAGGAAGAAAAACCAAAACGCCAAATCCGCAATGACACAGGAGGATCTTTGAACGCCAACAAAATCAGCTCAGAATCCGCCAAGTTTGATCTACACTCAGACGAACAGCTTCGAAGAACTGCCAACCTGCGCGTGACGTAATCTGTATCCAACTTATGTCAGAACCTCTTCGCGAAATGATCCTGAACTTGCTCGAACACGCTTCGGTAAACATGTGAAGTTTACCCAAAACGGATCGAAACTTGCAAAATACTTCGGAAACAACCCGACGATCCAAATTGGGCGCCCGGCCGCTCGGACCGCGCCCAACGGCCCGGGCGTCCAGGTCGCCTGGCCGCCCGGGCGCCTGGACGCCGGGAGCGCCCGGACGCCTGGGCCGCCCGGGCGGCGTAAGGTACAATTGTTGTATATATATATATATATATATATATATATATATGGTGGACAGATAGACAGATGTTGCCCCGATGGTTGTCCTGATGGTTGTCCAGATAATTGCCCCGATGGTTGTCAAGATGGTTGTCCGGATGGTTGTCTGGTTGGTTGTCCCGATGGTTGTCCCGATGCTTGTCCTAATGGTTGTCCTTAAGGCTGATAGATCGGTAGACATATATAAATATATACATATATATAGGTATATAGAGATCGATGAATGGATAGAGGCAGATCGATGTATTTATATATATATATATATGTATATATATATGAGTATAAATAGAAGCGGATGTAAACATGCTGTCCTGGGATGGGCGCGAAACGCACGCGAATCTTAGATGTCGTTCGCACGGAAACGCATGCGAAGCATTAATACTGCAAAAACGTTTCGCGCGCTGCGCGCGCGAAACGCACGATACATAGTTGGATAGATAGATATTTCGTCCTATACACACATATATATATATATGAGTTGGTATATACATAGATACATATGTACAGGCATGTATATACATATCTATACATATACACATATATGAACATGTACATATATAAATATATACGTATATATATATATATATATATATAGTCCTTGATATTTAATTCGGTAGATAGGTCGATAGATAGATGAGCATAAGTGCGCGACAAAAGGAACACTGAAGAAAACACCACGACCTCTTTATGACCCGCAGGGTGGTCCTACCGGTGAATCACGAAACAAAGGGTTGGCAACGACCGTCCTCCGCCTCGTCGTTTATTTTTGAAGCTGCGCAAACGTAGGGCGGCTCTCTCCGCCTCCTCGCCGTGTCTTCCTTCTCCTCCTCCGCCTGATTCGCCTTGTCCTCCGTCCCCTCGCCACCCCGCCGCCCCCGCGGCGGCCTTGCCGCCGTCCTCGCCCCGCCTCCTCCGGCTGGACTTCTCCTCGGGGGCGCGGGTCGGGGACGGCGGGTGGAGCTGACCCCCAGCCGACCCCCCGCCCGCACCTTCGACCCAACGACCTCATCATCATCAGCGGTAACATCAGCAACATCATGATCATACTGATCAGAATACTCGGCATTCCAAGCATCATCATCAGCAGCAGCACCAGCAGCAGCAGCACCATCATCCGCACCGTCATCATCACCACCACGACCACCACCATCATCAGCATCATCACCACCACCATCACTACCACCATCAACAACATCATCATCATAATCATCACCATCAGCATCATCATAATCACCATTACCAGCTTCATCATTGTCGGCATCAGCATCATCACCATCACCGCCATCACCATCACCATCATCATCACCATCAATATCACCATCATCATTATCATCAGCAGCATCATCATCAGCATCATCATCTTCGTCATCGTCATCGTCATCATCATCGTCATCGTCGTCGCCGTCGTCATTGTCAGTGGCATCATCGACAACACCTCCGCAACACCATCGCATCGGCATCATCGTCAACAACGACAACGACATCATCAACAACCCATTCGCCCACCCCACGGGCGTCAGGTGCATATCTGCGGGGAGTGGGTGAAATTTCACGCAGGGTTGGGGATCTGGTTTTGCGGGACTTGCGTTGCGGGAGATGCGCAGAAGAACAGTCGGCCAAGCTCGGGAAGGAGCGGCTCGGCAAAACCACGGGTAATTGCCAAATCTGTTGTTCCCGTGGTATCCGCGAAGAGTCGGGCCTAAAATTTACAGCAAATCTGCTTCGGCCAGGCGTGATGCTCGGTAGCATCAACTGAGCACCCGACGCAATCGCAACATCCGTAACTCAATGACTCCCCCCCGCCCGCTCTCCCTCGCTTCTCGCCCCCTTCCCCTCCCGCTCGGGATCCCCACGCGACACACCACGCTGCCGGCGACGGTGCCTGCACTTAGTGGGCCCTGGAAACGACAGGGCCGTTTTTTGACCAGTTCCGTTTTGCCGTTTGGTTTTGGTTCCGACGCCGTTTGTTTACCGGTTCCGTCGCCGTTTGTTGACCGGTTCCGGCTCCGGTTCCAATCCTGGAGCCTTTTTTTGCCGTTTTCGGTGGCCGTTTTTTTGCCGTTTCCATTTCCAAGGGACATTTTTTGGGAAACGGTGAAAAAACGGCCCTGCCGTTTCCGGGGCCCACAAAGTGCCTGCAGGCGATGGTGCCAGCCACATCCACGGGACACGTTGGACTGCTGAGGAGCGGTCGGCGCTCCGCACGGCGCCTGCGGCACGAGACCTCGCAACCGCTCGGACGTCCATTCCCCGTGCATGTTTCGACTTCGTGCGTGCATGTTTCGCCAGATGATCAAAAATGCTTCTCAATGGTCCACGCCGAGAAAAAGTGCACACGTCCGAGCGACGCCAAGAGAGGCGTGCCCGCCCGAGGCTGTGAGTCTGAGCGTGCGCCCCGGGGGACCCATCACGGCACAGCACGGCGCCCCAGGCGCAGAACGGCACACCCACGGCATGGCGTGGCGCCGATGGCGTGGCACTGGCTCATTCTCCACCCCCTTTCTGGCCATCTATCGGACGTCCATTCCCTATGTTTTTGTTTCGCTTTCGTGCGTGGCTTTTTCGCCAAATGATCAAGGATGCTCCTCGATGGTCCTCGCCGAAGGAAAAATGCAAACGTCCGAGCGATGCCAAGCTTTCTTCAGCTCCTGCACGCCCGCGGCGCAACGCTCAGAGCGCCCATGCCGCTGCGCTCACAGCACATCGCTCACGGCATGGTGCCCACGGCACGCCGCCGAACCAACCAGCCAGCCAGCAGTCGCGCGACCGACCGATCGGCCAGCCAACCGGGGAGGCAGGAATAAAGGGGCCCCAGAACACACAAATAAATACACAAATAAAAATGTTCCCCATATTTTCCCATATTTTCTGGATCTCTGTCTTCCCTCCCACTTCCCATATTTTCCCATATTTTCTGGGGGATCGACGATTCATTGTGTCTCTGTGCTTTTCCCCTCCTGAAACCAGGGAGGCAGGAAGCAGACAAGGCATCGTTGGCTACGGCATGCGCCGCATAGAGTCGGGCAGCAACAGCCGGGGCGTGGCGGAGGTACTGAACTGCGCACCAAAGACTGACGGAGAGGGCGGCGTTTTTTTATTTTTACTTTTTGGGGGGATTTGTTTTTGTGGTTAGTTTGTTTGTTGTTTGCTTTGTGGTGTTTTTTTTTCCTGGTTTTCTCGGGCACAGACAAACAGCCAATCAACCATACAGCCAACCTGAGGGGCAACGATCAAGGGGGACTGGCACATAGGGGGGGATGCGTCGACCTGGACTCGCCGATACGCCGCCGACAGAAAGGCGAGAGGCCCCCGACGGCGAATCCGATTCTTCCTGAAAGGGCGTGGGGCTCTCGGGCCCGCATGGGCGATCAATGGGCGATTGGGGGTAGATGCATCTTCCCCTAGTCCTATCCCCCCTCCCCTGGACGGGGTGGGGCTCTCGTGCCCGCATCGGCGATCGATGGGCGATTGGGTGTCGATGCATTCCCCCCCCCCCCCCTATGCCTATGCCTATCCCCCCTTCTCTCGGGGAGACGTAAGACTCGGGGTATGTGGGACTCGGGTTGGCCTGCCGGGGACCATCATAAAAATGACGAGACCCACTCTGAAATCTGACGCGGGCTCCCGTTGCAGACACCCCACGGAAACCCGACCGTCAAAAATCCAGGGCGCGCTCGGCAAAAAACTTCGGCAGGCCCGAGCTCTCGAGCCTTACGTTGCCCCGATGATCGTCGGCCCCCGAAAATCGGCAACACGCAAGAGTGACCCTGGGTAAGAGTGACCTTTGGTGCGCGGCTTTCGGGGGGCCGCGGGGGGACCAAACCTGGGCGCGAAGGCAGCTGCCTTTGCTCCGTTTGCAGCCATCTGGGGACCCACCCGTGCCCGCACCAAAAGGTCACTCCTGCGAAAGGTCACTCTAACGTCTCGTCGAGACGACCGCCCGTGGACCCCCACCTCCGCAGGCGCCAGCGCCGCCGCGCCCGTCGGCGGCCCGCCGAGCCACGGCGCCCGACGGCCCGCCCACACGCCGCAGGCGAGAGCGCCGGGCCGCAGCCACGCAGCCACGGAGTCGAGGGCCCGAAGACATGACAGCGCTGGAAGCTCCAGACTTGGGTCGGGCAGGTCCTCCTGCAGCCGGAGCTTTTGGGGACAAATAATAGTCCGAGACCAATTCCCCCCCCCAAAAAAAATAAAGGATCAAGCAAGATCAAGAAATCGCCCCCAGACTATTTCTCAAAACTTTTTTCGAGTATTCCTCCTATGGACGGACCCGACTTCACCCTGGTCCCGAAGATGGGAGCCGGGGAACCCCGCCGGGCCCACCGAAAGCGGCCCGCAGTCCAGAGACCGGGGGCCCAGGATCAGGAGCCCGACCGCCCACCGATAGCAGCCCCAGGATTAAGTCGGGCCAGTCCGTCTGCAGGGGGAAGATTCAAAAATAGTCAAACAATAGTGTGGGGACGATTTTCTCTATATTTTTTGACCATTTGGGGGTATGTGTCGGCTACTTTTACCTGTCAGCCTCTGCTGGGACCCCGTCTGTGCGAGCACCGGGTAGGGAAGACAGTGCGCTGTGCGGCACAGCCCGGACGGGGTGCGGGCGCCCGCATTCACTGTGCACTGTTCTCTGGGAAAGACGGCGGCGGGGCCGGCATTTGGCCTGCTGCTCGCAAGCCCACCATCCCTGTCAAAAGACAATACGAAACCCGCCGGCCTCGTCGTCGTCGTCGTGGTCGTGCTCGTCGTCGTCGCCGTCGTCGTCCTCCTGGTCGCCGCCGTTCGCCGTTGTCGCCGTCCTCGCCGCCGCCCCTCCACTTTCCCTGCGCCCGTTGCCCCTCCCCCTCTTTCATCGCGCCCATCTCCTCGAGCAACTCAGCCACAGCGAGATTCAGCCACGTCGTAGTCGAGTCCAGGGGAAGCTTCTTCCCTTTGATCCCTTCCCCGCTGGGGGGGGGGAGGGGTCCCGGGGTGGGGTCCCAGGGGAGGGTCCCGGGTCGGAATGCCCCCCCCCCCGAAGGAGCCCGGGGCCAAAAAACGTTCCAAGACGAGCCAAGAAGAGTGCCCCAAGAGGCCCCCAAGACGGTCCAAGAGGACCCCGAATCGCCGAACGATCGGTCCAAGACGTCTCTACGGCCTCCAGACGGCCCAGGAGGGCTGAAGACGCCCCAGGAGGCATCGAAGAGCACCCCCAAGAGATCCCAAAGAGACAACGATTTCTGTTCTTTCATTGAATGTTTCAAGGACTTGGGCGTTCTCACCTTTTCAGCTTCCCGACGCTCGAAGACTGCCCAAGAAACTCCAACGATCGCCCCAGGAGGCCTCCCAGAGGGCCCCGAAACGGGCCAAAGAGGGCCCGAAGACGGCCCAAGGCGCCTGCAAGACTGCCCAAGAGGCCCCCAAAGAGGGTGCCCACACAAAGGAACCAAACGGGCATTTCGAGCACTCCGCCCCGAGAGGCTCCCAGGAGGCCCTCAGAGGCACCCAAGAGGCCCCTAAGAGGCTCCAAGAGGCCCCCAAGCCCCAGGAGGCTCTCAAGAGGCTCCCAAGAGGCCTCCAAGAAGCTCCCGAGGGGCTCCCCAAATTGCTCCCCAGAGGTCTCGGAGAGCGCCCGAAGAGACCCCAAACAGAATTCCTGAGAACCCTGACCCACGTCAGCGTCGTCGTCGTCGTCGTCGCCGTCGCCGTCGTCGTCGTCGTCCCTCTTCAGGGTCGGCGGCACTGGCCGTAAGGCCTTCGCAATCTACCTTGCGGCAAAGATAAATGATGCACGGGCACCCCGCGGTCACTTTGAACTGTTTTGTGACAGAGGCGGCCAGGGTGCCGGCAAGTTGCCTGCTGCGCGCGCGCCCTCCACCAGCCAAAAACTCCAGCAGCATACAAGTTGCGGCGACAGCTGCATCAATGCGCGGGCACCCAGAGACCACTGT